GCAACGGATGTTCTTCACAACGACGGAAGCACGTGACGTTGGGTGCAGGTACTGATTGGAATGGATGGGTTGTCGATAGATAATAATCTTGAATTCAGGCAAAGGTGTCCTCTTCACTAGCGGGTCCAGAAAAGATATCCAGTGATTCAGCTCAGCTTAAGTGGTGACATGTATTCGGCCATTGGCATCTTGTCCATGCATACAATCCATGAAGCTTTCCAACCTCTCCAGTTCGTCCTTATTTTGTTGAAATAATAAGAAAATCTTATCAACGAGTCGAACATAGAACAGCGGTCAGAAGTTTGGCGGGAACTCACTCCAGGCTTTTACCTTCAGGTGATCCATGTGAAGATGAGTTAAGACAACTCTCAATGGAGGCAGCAGTCGGAACGCGAGGGCAGGGTAAGACGAACTGAGTAATAAGCTCATTTTTGTAATTTTCATTTCGAGCACTTGCATGTCTTGCACAAATTCCGCCAGTGCCGATGTAGTCATTGGTGAAGCCATAATTCATATTAGACATGAGAAGGACGAATGTAATGTCGATCGTTGTGTTGCAAGTGCCAGACACAGGTCAACGAAGGGTTTTTGCTGTGTCGACCTCGTCGTTTTCACGGCGAGCCAATTTCTGCTCAGTTTACTGACCCCTCACTTTGCTCTGGCAGCGGAGAACAAATTCTTTGTTCCGCTCAAGAATACGATTTTGGAAGCATCCTTGAAAACCTTCCACAGACTCCTAGTACCGCGAACAGTTGGCAACCTGCTGAATTCCGGTAGAACAACCCGGCTTGCGTTTCCACGAAAATTCCACCAATACGAACGAAGCTATGGCCAGCTCTACGATGAGCCTCAAGTCGAACCAGAATAAGCATTGAGTGAAAGATATATGAAGAACCGACCGTCTGCATCCATGGAAAAGCTGTCGAGTCAGTTTTCAAAATGGCGTTGCAGGGCTGATCGCTGATAAATCTTCTCCTCGTGTAGACGTTCAGTGTGTAATAAAAATGCGATGCATAATAAGGTGTATAATTATGTGTATAATAAAATTACGACTAGTTTACTACCTGTCATTAAGAGCGCTGAATAAAACGATGTCCACAGCAACGTTTCAGATCGGTTTTGTTTAATCTTGGCGTACTTACGCCTAGGGGCAAGTCGGCTTTCTTCAAAAGGTAACTAGATTACATTAGTGAATACGCACCTGGTTTCGCCTACCGTGTGATGAATGCTTAAATGGTGAAAAAGTTTTCGGACGAAGCAAGATCATTAACTGTGAAGAATGCCACGGTGAACGCAGAACTTCGGCTTCGGCTTAGAACGACATAACGTGTTGAACGCAGGCTCTTAAGGATCTCATTAGGAAGCTGTTCATCGAGAAGCTGTCAATGAACAGTCAATTTTCTTTCAGGCAGCTGGTATACTGTCCTAGAGCGAAACTATGACCAAGCCTCATATATCATGGCTGACCTAAAACAAGCAACAGTACTATCTATTCACGTGAAGTTTCATCTATGAATTACAACGTATGCACGTTTAACTTTTCTAATGTATGGCTTGTGTTGTCAAATCTTTGTTAGTAAACAGTCGGCAAATTGTTACCCCGAAATATGTTTCAAGTAGATTAATATGCGGATGATAGCGCAGGGCAAAAAGTTGACTTCGAGCTCTTCATGTGCCGGGCTCAAATCTCGAACGAAAGTTCCCAAGACCGCTATTTCCTTTGAACATGGAATTCGCCCAATTTGTCTCGGTGTTACCGGTCAAGAAGAGAGCAGCAAGCCATTGATTAGCGAACAACAGGGCTAGCATGGCGGTCTGGCGTGGCCGTATTAAAATGAACAAGAGGTAGGGCTGCAGTTCGCTTGAACCCACCCTGCAGCTTACTGTTCAGTATCATAATTAGCATAATGTATAAACCGATGAAAAGTGGACACGTATAAATATATCAGATATCTCAAGAGGAAGCGGTGAGTACTCGGCTCTTTCAGTTAGAGGGCGAAAACAGGTGGCACAACGTAGAGTAATACAGCTTCCTATAAAGGAGTGATAAAAACAGAATTTGATTCATCGCAGGATTTATTTTCCACCAACCACCAGAGTTCACCGGGGAGATGTGTTTTCGCTTTTGCTATTCAACACTGTTCGCGCCTTTCTCTTCTGAAGCAGCGCTACTCATTGCAAGAAGGATGGATGGTTTGTCGAACAGTTTGATACCAGTCGTGTAATCAACGTTCTGCTCGTTGATCAGTATTTCTTAAACAGAGTGAGGGTCGTGTCCATGCAAAGCGTTTAACACAGCTGTTAGTTATATCGAATCGAACGGATTATTGTAGTCGATGAAGGCAAGGCAGAGTGGCATTTCTTTGCGCATTTTCGTCAATGTGAGGAAAATTCTAAACGAACAGCAGCTTATGAATAGTTGGACGTGGGTGTCTTTCCAAAGACAGTTCAGAATGATGTGGATGAATGTGAATGAATTTATGGCTCTGCAACAGGAGCGTAATTGATCGTCGGTTCTGAGTCGCTGTTTTTTTTTACGAAAAGAGTTGTTCTTGAAGTCTTTCACACTTTAGACACCATGCTTCCTTGATGAACTCTGTAAATCGTTTCGTAAGAGCTTTAAACCGGACCGTTCCTCCTGCTTTAACGTGTTCCGGTGCGGCATCCTTTGTTCCTGGACATTTATTTGTGACGGTCTGATTGTTCAATCAACTGAGTCCCAGGTGACTTGGGGAACGGCTTCTGGAACAACGTCTGACAGCTTCTGGCTGATGCCTATTTTTAGGAGTAGATCCTAAAAGGCTTCCAAACTAACGAAATACCTAAAGCTGCAGATCAAGGAACGGTTATTACTTCCAATGCAGCTGCACAGCTGCGGGTCGGTGCACCTTTCAGCAAAGCTGCACAATTCGGGCACCGATGCGCTAATCGTCTTCTTCAACCAATCGCATTGTTTCCAGTGGCGTTCGCCAATCGTCCTTCTTCGGCATTTCAGTATTCCTATGTCAAATATCAATTATTCATTCGCCTTAGCATAGACAAAATTTTTATTCCGCCATCAAGGTTATATAAAAATTGATTTATTCATTTTGCTGAGTTTTTTGCAGCTTAATGCTTATTGACTTCACAACCGTAGTGGTAACGCCGATCTAGTGATTGTTTATTCATATGTGGTTTTCGTCTTGTGCGAGCTTATATCAGTAATGAAGTTGGTTAAGGCGAATTGCAGCGTGACCAGGTAGCATCGTTGGCACTCTTCTCTTATGGCCACGCCAGGGCACCACTCTGTCTCTAAGTATTGCGAGTCAGCCACTTCATACACGGTTCTAGCATGGTTACACAAAGGCGCTGTGAGAAGAATTCATCACTCAATGAGATTGCAGTTTTCAAAAATGACGTCATACCTCAGCAGTTCGGTTTGGACGCCTGACCTACCAAATACGAAGCACACTATCAGTCCTTGACATCATTGCCAGTCCCTTCCGTCAATGTAAAAAATACGCTTCCTACAAGTGACACTCAGATCTGTTTGTCAGAAGCTCATTAACATATAGTCACGTTTCACTAGAGCAGGTGTCTCCAAACGTTACTCAAAGACGACCACGTCGTCTACTTAAATATTTCCGAGGACCAAGGCAAAAAATCAATAAATGAATGAATGAGTCTTATTTTGATTTTTCTGGGTAATCTGCATGATGTGATCCACGACGAAAGTGAAATATGACAGCTGCTTAGAAAGGATGCTGGATACTGTTTATGCAATTATAGTTAGTGATTAAAAATGTAAAATTGCAGCTAATGCTCTGACGAAAAAATCATTGAAATGGAGGTGAGAAAAGTAGGTTTGTTCCGCCTGAGGCTTCCCTGTCGTTACCCCACAATCAAATTCATCAGCTGACGTGGGCTACGCCAAGCAACGTCTTCAGAAGCCAGAAGGACCACATGTTGGTCAGCAGTAAGTGGCGAAGCATCCCCCATGACACCC